AGAGACAAGCCCTGTCCCTGTCAACCTGTCAAGGGACATGTCCCTGCAAGGTCATGTGGATAAATGGGGGCTGTAATAGCATGGTAATGAAAGGGAGAAGGAAAGGAAATCCAAAGCAGACTGAGCCAAATACAGCTTCGTAAAAGCTGTGGGGTGTGTTTATGTATGTTATAGCATATGTAAGAGGAAAAACAAACGTTCAGAAGGAACTATTAATACACCGAAATTTGCTGACAGTCAGTTACAGACGCTTCTAACTTATTTCTTTAATGTTTATGTATCTTCCAATTTTTCTGCAGTCGATAAGGTAGCAAGTTATCTAATGAAAATAGCCTTCTTTCCAAAATAAGCCTGCCACAAGTGCTCCAGCACCTGGAATCTCGTGGCAGCAATGTGCTGGTCCTGAAGCCAGACTGCTGGTCCAAAACCCACTCGTTCACTTGGAGTTCTGTGGTCTGGAACAAATGTCTTCGTTAGCTTTTAAGTATTATCATCATGAGCATTCATTCAGTGTTTTCTAGATGCGAGGCATGGCACTTGTTTTTATGGGTCACCTCAATTACCATGTACCAAGGGCTTATATATGCATTATCACATAGGGTTGTTGGAAGTATTAAATGCAATTACATGTTTGTAAACACTGGATATTTTATTATCTGCTCTCTGGATTAGTTCATGTTAGCAGCATTAAACACCTGTTCATCCAAAAAAAAAAAAAAAAAAAGTTTAGCACAACTTTTGGGCATGGCAGTGTGTCCCACCATGCATTTCTTCCCCTGCAAATTCTCCTAGCCCTGGGGACTCCAACAGGTGGCCTCACAGCAAGCTCTGATCAAAAAGCCAAGGGCTGCCAACTTCATGTTCTACAAGGGTCGCTTGGCCGGCAGGAGGGTCTGCCTACCTGCTCTGCACAATGCTCTGTTGAATTTGCTCATTTAAGGGTCTATTTTAATCATGTCCACTTTGTGTTTACAATAGCATGTTCTGGTCATTTTGCCAGAATACAGACTGGTAGACAGGCCCAGCCCAAGAGTCTACCTCAATAAGAAAACCTTGAGATTTCAAGCAGCAAATAGGTAAAATAGTAATGAAAATTGGGCACAAACACAACTGAGTTTTTTATCTGGGCTTCTGTCTCATTGAGGAGTAGATGCTTTTAGGAGCTGGTAAATGGAAAACAGGATGCTTTCGTTACAAGAAAAGTAATTCAGTCAAGTTTTCCTGTTGCCTCAAGAATGCTCATAATTTGGAGAGAATTTTAGGCAGTGGCACTTAATGAGGTAAGTCAGCCACCCCAAGGACTGAAGACAGCACACCACGCCTCCTTTGCCCAGAAGGTTCAGCCTGCCTGGCAGCCAAGCTGACAGCACAACAGCCCACATGTATTTCTCCTGCTGAAAGCAGCTAGTCAGGCACAGAATGAACTCAAGTCATATTGGTCTAATAAAAAAGATTGATTCCATCAGAAGATTTGCCCCTAGATCCTTCTTAAAGCAAGTCTTGGCCTAAAATATTTCATTTTTTCTTTCCTGTGAGTCTTTAAGTGGAATTGTGAATAGCAGCAATCCTTGTAACTCTGATGTGGGCAGAGGACACTCAAAATAGTAGATGGCAGATGCCAGGCCCCCTCAGAATTGCTCATGCCTATTTATATAGATGCTGCCTTCCAATTTTTTCTCAGATCTTCCAAGTTCTATCACAGCCATGACAAAGTAATGACTCATACTTAAATGCAGTCATCAATGTCATATTCGGTATTAATACCTTTGTAGCATTGCTTTGTGTAAGAGCATTTAAGAGGAAAAAGTCCCCAAGAGCAGGAGCAGCCTGCCACCGTCCTCAGGGACCACAAAGGGCAGGGCCTGCAGAAGGCAATGCTCATTGTGCAGGAAAGCCTGCAGCCTCCAGCAAGCTGTTCAGATAAGCAGCTGTGGGAGGGATGGGGAGGGGGCCGAGGGAGGGGGAGGGGAGGCAGAGGTCACTGTTGTTGCCTTGGAAGGCAAGGTTTTAGCTGCTGCACTGATGTCTTATCTAAAGTATGCTCCTGTTTTGCAAGTTTAAAATCTTCCTAAAAGGAGAAAAGTAGGAGCTGGGCCCAACCTCCACCCTAGCACTGGGCAGCATGCCGTTCCTCTGCCAGCGCAGACGAGCCTGTCATTCTTGCCGACAGGAAGACGGAACAGGTGCCATCAGTTCCAAGGAGTTCCAGCAATCTTCTGAAACCCTGAACACCACCTCCCCCCAACACAAAGATCCCCTACCCTCAATAAAGAGCATAACTTTGTTTCAAAAAGTTTATTGTAAAATTCAAAGCTTCAACAGCAGCATCCTTTAGAAAACGAAGCATTGCCCGGATCCGTTTTTGAAAAAGCAGCGCAGTTGGCTAAGTCCTTCACGCTCCTGCAACTGTACCAAGTCCAGGGCGCCGCTCCTTCCTGCCGAGCGCAGGCTGCTGAGTCACGCCTGCCCGGCCAGTCTGTCCTTCCCGGCCCTGCAGCCAACGTCCCAGCCTAGGCCTTCCTGGGCGAGCAGCCGCTCCAGACACTTGCAGAGTCCTCAGCTCGGGCCAGCCTGGCCCTGCCGCCGCTGGGCCCCTCCTCGGGAGGCCGCACCTCCTCGCTCTCCAGGCGCCCCCCCCGCCTGCCAGTCTCCACGCCGCACTCGGGCACCCTCCGAGGGCCCCTCCACAGAGCCAGCCGCGCTCTAGGCGCCCCGGGGCGTCACCACGTCGATCAGACCAAGGTCCCCGCCGGGCCGTCACTCGGGGAGGGTGATGCTGGGCACCCAGTCGTTAACGCTGCGGCTCTCCTCGCAAAACAGGCTGAGCTTCTCCAAAGCGGGGTCCTTCCAGGCGTCCTCATTGGGGTTCTGCGGGGAGAGGGCAGGGTCAGCCTGGCTGGCCGCGGGGCCGAGGCGGGAACGACACCGGGGGCGGGGACGGGACGGGACTGTACTCACCGAAATGAGGATGCAGTGCAGGTCGCCCGGTGCGCCCGCCTCCTCGCCGGCGCCCACGATAGCCGCCAGCCGCTGCACATCGCCCACGCGCACGATGTCGATGTCGTTCTCGCAGCAGAACGCCTGGATCAGCGTAAAATGGATCTGCAGCGCGATGTCGCCCTCGTCCTCCTCATCGGCAGCCAGCACACAGAAGGTCACATTGTCGGGGTCCCTGCGAGGGCAAGGCGGGGACCAAGGTCAGAACCCGCGAGCAGAGGTCTCCCGCCGCCACCCCTCCCATCCGCCCGTCTCCTAGTCATTCACCCCCGCCCCGGTCTCCCAACCTTGGCCGTGTCTACACTTACACGTTCAGGACTTTGGCTGACTCGTAGACGCCGGCAGTGAGGCAGCCCTGGCGCTGGGCCGACAGCAGCAACTCGTGCAGCGCTTTCCCGGCACCCTGCATCCTGCGGAGGAGCCCGCACAGTGAGCCGGCGCCGGCCGGGGGAGGAGCCCCCAGCCCCGGCCACCCGGACGCACTCGTGGCTCCCCACCTCCAACTACACCCCAGACCCGGCTCGGCGCCCGCACCCCGGCTCTCCAACCTGGATCTGCCGCCGATACCACCGCGCTTGTCTCCTACCCCGCGGACTCCCACCCTGGAGGACCCTGAAGGCCGCCGACCGACCAGCCGCTTTCTTCGAGCCCTGAGACCCACCTGGCTGTGCTTTCCGGAACTGTGTCCTGGCCGCGGACTTCTTCCAGAGTCATAGCGCGATCGACCAGCTGCAAGTTATCCACAAGCGGAGAGCGCGGAGAGGACACCGGAGAACACCTGGTGAGTTAGAGCTCGGCTCGGCGCGTCTACCACGAGCGACTGCGCCCCTGCTCCGCCGCGCGCCCTTATATAGGCTGGAGGGTGCTGCGCCGCCAGCTGGCGCGAGGCTGCGCGCCTATTGGCCGGCACCCGCTTTCTGATGTAAATGAGGCGGCGAGCCGGCGGCTCGTGCCAGAAGGCCACGTGGGGAGGGGTGCGGGGGATGACAATGCCTCAAATCTGCCGCTTTTGTTGGGGTGTTACCAGGCAGACTAGAGCCTGCAGATTTCATCTCGCCTGG